ACAAAATAGAGCGTTTTTGAGTAGAAAGTAAAGCAAAAAAAATTCAGTAAAAACTAAAAACCACATTTTTTTTAACAAATTCTGCAGTCTTCAGAGGAATGGAAGTGACGAGATTTCCAAATAATCTGTTATAAACTCTCGCTTATTCTGTTCATTTTTTGATAGAAAATTGTTTGATTTTTGTTCCAAATTCGAAGCTGGAAAGGGATTTCAAAACTTTTTACAAAGCGACGAAGGATTCGAAATTTATTTCATATTTTTTCGCGGAAAACACCTTAAGATTGTCAGCATTTTTAAGTGAAAGTTTAGAAAATTGAGCATTTAGAAGACAGAGTAACTTGGCTAAAACTGAAAAATTCTGAAATTTGAAGAAATTTTAAAAATACTATTAATAAATGGGCCTTTAAAATAAATCTAAAAAAAGGTCATCAACATTTTTCCAGCAACGGAACTGAGTTACTGCGCCGGAGCGTTGGGTTGGCGCACCAAGCCATTTGCGTGGCACTGCGCCAACTCCTAAACATTCACTGAGTTACCCAGGCCAAAATTTTTTTGCAAAAATTCCGCTTCCGACCATTTTTCGCTCCTTGAAATTGACTAATTTTTTATCAGATGACAAAAGACACCGTCCCGGTTAACAAGGCTGGACATTTTCGCGCATTTGCCAAATCTACATTTCGTTTATACCAGATTCCGAAATTTAACAAATTGTGAAACAATATCTGATTCAACCAAAACAAATCACCGTGAACAAACGCTCAAGCTGGCAGCGACGCGAAGTGAAACAAAGTTTTTCGATTAACTGACGTCACTGCCAAATAGCTTGGAACAAAGTATAGATGTGCAATACGTTTCTTAAAATTTCTACTTCCTGTTTCTTCCTGGAAGCGTCAATTACTGCTCTATCCAGTGATGTTAAAAAAGCGCTCTAAATCAACCTGTTCCAACCAAAAAACAGTCGGAAAACATGAAATTGTGCCCCAAACTTGCACCATCTAAATGTGCGATTCAAATTTCGATTTTTGTCTAAAAAATCCTGAGTGAGTGACTTACTTAACTGAGGAAAGTGAGTAACTCTGTATAACTGAGAGTGAGTGAAAACTGAGTTCGTGAAACGTCAAAAAAGTGTTTTTTGAGTTTATTTAAACTGTTTCGAGAAAACTGTTAACGTTTTCCCGTCATTGCGTGCTCTATACAATCTTGCACCTAAATGCACCAGATGCAAAATTCGCTTTTTGTGTGCAAGCTGCTACTTTTGCCACCTCGGGGGAAACTTGGCAACATGCGCTTTTTGCCCGTGCAGCATGAGTGCATTTTTTGTTATTTTATAGAAAAGTGGTCGAAATACTCACCAAAAAAACACCAATCAGAAAAGTTGCTGGTTCGATATTTAGATAAGTTCTATATTGTTGAGGCGGATTCATTTTTTACAAACTTCTTTTTGGGTATTTCGGCTCAAAAATTTTTGTCTTTAAAAAAGACAGAATTTCCTCACGTCTTTTATTACAGATTGATAAATAGTGCTCCTGTTTCGCAATAAAATTGAAAAATGTTTTAACGAAATAGAATTCCCACGAACAAAACAAAATCAAAATAAACCTTTTACGAACCTTTTCATTCCATTTATTCCGAGACTTTCAGATCAAATTAAACGAGTAGGTAAAAAATTTAATATTAGGACTATCTTCAAAACTGAAAATACAATTAGAAGTAAAATTTCAATAACAAAACCTCATGATATAATTGAAAATAC